GTATTGAAAAATGGTGAAAAAGTGTGAAATTTCCAAAGTTAGCCGAGAGGGTTCGCACCCTCCTATTTATAGGAGGCGAAGGTCTTCGGCCGAAGGGAGGAGGGGCAGCTGGCGGCTCGCGAGAGGACCAGATGGCGCGCATGCGAGGGCTCCAAGTGGCTCGCTTCGGACGCAACAGGCGTCTTCGGATGCGAGGAGTCACCGGGTGACTAAGCAGCTTCGGACGACTCATCGCGACCAATCAGAAGGTGCCAGCGAGGCTGCGGTCCAATCAGAAATTGCCACGTGGATCAACACTATTCATGCGAAAATTAAATGAAAATGTGCCCAATCTTGTAAAATCCATAACTTTCTCATACGGGCTCCGTTTTTGACGTTCTTTATATGCACGCGTAGAGAAAATTATGCTCTACAACTTTCATTTAGACTTCGTCGGAAAATTTTGACTTTATTTTTATATTGTTATTTTTAACAGAACGGGACTGGTAAATCCGTTAAAAATTCATAACTTCTTCATCCGACGTCCGTTTTCGTCAGACTTTTTACCATTGTACTGCTAATGACGAGACCTTCGATTCTCGTTTAGGTTGTGTCGGCTAAAAATCACTCGATCTAAAATTCGAGTTTTTAGCTGTCTACTGCTACGCTGAAACTTGTAAAAATCATAACTTCCTCATACGAAGTCAGATTTTGGCGTTCTTTTTATCGAACTTCTCGGTTTAACGAATACTACGACTTTTATTTAGATCACTAAGGCTAAAAAGTAGTTTATCAAAAACTCACTTTTTACGTCATTCGACACCGTGTCGGTTTTATCGCAGATCTTCGATTGGTCATAACTTCTTCGTTATAACTCGGATTTCGACAAGGTTTTCGCCTGCGTGTTTCTAACGAGATTATCTACAACTTTCAACAATAAAATTTTACTTATTTCAAGTTTTATATTTTCGCTGAATTTCACTATTTAGCTTTTAATTGGAATCTCATAAGACTTCCAATAATTTATGAGTGATTCTAAACATAGTTTTACCTTATTTCTAGTAAAAACTATCTGTTAGAACTCAGTACTCAATATCACATAATATTTCATAATATTATTTATATAAAACATGATCTCAAAACGTGTATGTTACAAATACCTCCTCCTTTTGAGAATTTCGTCCCCGAAATTACATCGATTAAAATAAATGGGGATATTTCGCTTTTATCTTATTCTTATTCTCCCAAGTATAGTTCGGGCCTCGATGGTGTTTCCACTTGACAAGCACCAACTCTACTTCTTTATTACGTAGCTTAGTCGTTCTTTTGTTTACGATCTCTTCAGGCTCTTCTACATAAGTTAACTTCTTATCCAGTTTCACCTCGGATAATGGAACTGCTTCATCATAGATGCTCAAGCATTTACGCAGATAACTCACATGGAAGACATCAGGAATACCTGCCAAATCTTCAGGCAATTCCAAGCGGTATGCTTGTTTACCAATCCTCTGGAGGATTTTGAAAGGACCAACAAATCTAGGACTTAGTTTTCCTTTCTTTCCAAATCGCATAAGACCTTTCCATGGGGATACCTTCAACATTACGAAATCCCGCACCTGGAATTCTATTGGTCGCCTCCTCTTTTCCGTATAGGACTTTTGTCGATCCTGTGTGGCTTTCATTCTTTCTCGTACAATTTGAATCTTGTTGGTGGTGTCTTGAATCATTTCAGGGCCTCCAATGATTTTCTGTCCTATTTCACGCCAACATAATGGAGTACGACACTTGCGACCATATAATGCCTCATATGGCGGCATTTTGATTGAAGCGTGGTAACTGTTATTATACGAGAATTCGACAAGAGGTAAGTATTTATCCCAGTTACCACCGAACTCCAAGACACATGCACGAAGCATATCTTCTACAGTTTGGATTGTTCTCTCCGTCTGACCATCTGTCTGGGGATGATAGGCTGTGCTGAGAGCAACTCGAGATCCCAATTCACGTTGCATACTCGCCCAAAAGTGAGAAGTGAAGCGAGTATCACGATCGGAAACGATCTTTAGTGGCACACCATGTCTTGCAACAATTTCATCCAAGTATACTTGTGCGTATTTCTCCATTGGAGCCGTTTCACGCATGGCAAGAAAATGAGCGCTTTTAGTCAGGCGGTCGACGATTACCCAAATGTTATCATGCTGTCTAGCAGTCTTTGGCAATTTGGTAATAAAATCCATGGACAGTTCTTCCCATTTCCATACAGGTACACTAAGGCTTTCTGGGGTTCCGTAAGGCTTTTGGTGCTCTGTTTTGACTTGTAAGCATACTAAGCATTCTTGTACATATCTTCCAATGTCTCTCTTTAATCCAGGCCACCAATAATCAGCTCTTACATCGTAGTACATTTTACTTGTACCAGGATGTATTGACAGTTTAGACTTATGGGCTTCATCTAAAATCTTCTTTCTTAATCCACCGATCTTCGGAATCCACAGCCGATTCTTGATTACCTTCAGTCCTTGGGGATCATCAAGTAAAACATCGGTGTAATGTACCATCCCTTCTTTCTTCACATTTTCTGGCTTTAGGGCTTCTACTTGCCATTTCTCTAGTTCATCTAGGATAGTGAACTTTACTGTGGTGTGAGTAATAGCATAACACATACTATTACGATAAACCTTTCTGCTAAGTGCATCGGCAACTACATTAGCCTTTCCAGGATGATATAGGATTTCACAGTCATAGTCTTTGATCAGCTCCATGGCTCGTTGTTGTCTCATATTCAGAGTTTGCTGACTGAATATATACTTGAGACTCTTGTGGTCGGTATACAATTGACATTTTGTACCAAAGAGGTAATGTCTCCAAAGTTTTAGGGCAAATACCACTGCAGCGAGTTCGAGATCATGAGTGGGATAATTCTTTTCATAATCTTTCAGTTGTCTTGAGGCATAGGCTATCACTTTACCACGTTGCATCAACACACAACCGAGTCCTAATCTTGAAGCATCGCTATATACAGAGAAATCATCATCACCTTCTGGAAGTGATAAGATTGGAGCATGGGTCAAAAGATCTTTTAGAGTCGAGAAAGCTTTTTCGTGGGCTTCACCCCATTCGAACTTCACTTCCTTTTGTGTAAGACTCGTGAGAGGTACGGCTATACGAGAAAAGTCCTTAATAAATCTCCAGTAATATCCCGCGAGACCCAAGAAACTACGAATTTCGGATGCATTACGAGGCACTTCCCAATTTTGAATAGCTTCAATTTTAGTAGGATCTACGGATACACCGTCACCAGAAATAACATGGCCGAGAAATTGAACTTGGCGAAGCCAAAATTCACATTTCGAGAATTTAGCATAAAGCTTCTCCTTTCGAAGAAGTTCTAACACCGCACGAATATGAACGGCATGATCAGCTTCAGACTTGGAATAGATTAGAATATCGTCTATGAATACGATGACAGATTTATCGAGCATTGGGCGGCATACCCGATTCATCATATCCATGAATACAGCAGGAGCATTCGTTAAACCAAACGGCATAACAAGGAATTCGTAATGCCCATATCGAGTACGAAAAGCAGTCTTCGGTACATCCTGCTCTTGAACTTTCAACTGATGATAGCCAGATCTTAGATCAATCTTTGAGAAATAGCTAACACCCTGAAGTTGATCGAACAAATCGTCGATGTGAGGTAGTGAATACTTGTTCTTGATAGTCACCTTATTCAGCTCACGACAATCAATGCACATCCGCATCGATCCATCTTTCTTCTTGACAAACAGTACCGGAGCACCCCAGGGAGAGGTACTTGGTCGGATAAAGCCTTTGTCAAGTAATTCCTGCAGTTGGATCATCATTTCTTTCATCTCAGCTGGCGCAAGACGATAAGGAGTCTTAGCAATCGGAGCAGCACCAGGCACAAGGTCAATTCGGAATTCTACTTGCCTGTCCGGAGGAAGTCCAGGCAATTCTTCGGGAAAAACATCTGGATATTCCTTAGCAATGGGAACATCATTCACCGTTTTCTTATCTTCTTTTGAGACATCGACTGTGTAGGCCAGATAGATAGAACACCCTTTCGATATGAATTTACGGGCTTTAAGGAAAGATATTATTTTTTTAAGGTTCCTTGTTCACCATAGACATAGATAGGATTCTCCCCTTCAATGGGAATACGTACTATCTTTTCATAACACAAAAGGTCTGCGTGGTTCTTCGACAACCAATCCATGCCGAGAATAATGTCAAAGTTTTTGTCGGGCTTTATGGGTCCCTAAACTAGGATACGACCTGCTCTTTTAGTCACTGCCAACCTGTAATAGCCGGTTCAACATGCGACAGTGATCATTAGACCAATAAAACTCACATTCTGCCCCTATAAAGCCAAAAAAATAAATCCGTGGATCAAATGCTTATGCCACAAGATCGAAGTGATTTGGGAGAAGAAGAAACCTAATATTGAGAAAATGAGAAGAAACCCTCGGTTTTAGAAATAAAATGAGCTGTTGGAGCAGGAATTTTGAAAGATCCTGACTTCAACATACATGTTTCTTCATCTAATTAAGTGAAATTTAGTAGTTTGTTTCTTCGATCTTGTGGTATAAGCATTTGATCCCTGAACTTATTTTTTGGTTTTATAGGGGCATAATGTGAGTTTTTTTTGGTATAAATGGTCATTGTCGCATGGTGAACCGACTGTTACAGGTTGGCAATGACTAAAAGAGCAGGTCGTATCCTAGTTTAGGGACCCATAAAGCCAGACAAAAACTTTAGAGACTGAATTGACAAATCCTAGAAACTTTATAGGACATTTGTCTCATTTCCCCTTTACAAAATCACGATATAGAATGTGGGTCCCATATATATAACACCGGAGTCCCGGACCTTAGCAATGAGTTTGACCAGATTTCAGCTACTCCGAAATGGCCAGTTTAGAAATAGTTGGTTAGTTTCAGAAAAAAAAAAGATAATTTTTTTTTAAAATAAATGAAAATGTGATTAATTTAGTTAATATGCCCAAATTAAAACGTCGGCCGTTCCTACTTCCTACTCATTTTATTTCCCAAACCTCTCTCCCCTCTCAAAGAAAACAGGACAATAGTTTATCGTTATCCGAAGACTTTGCTCTATTGGCACAGGTCAACGGCTAACGAATGAAGTATGTGGCTGTGAATCTAATCGAAGCTCTTTTGTGCTAAATATTTGAACTGAAGAAATCCAGCAATCGAGTGCTTATAACTCTAAAGTTACTCAAGACTTCAAGGTAATCTAAGTAAACTCAAACTTCAACTTCACCGATATATGTGCAGTAACTAGACATCGTTAACTCTTCATCTACTTCGTTGATTGTAGTAGTTGTGATTGCAATTTTAAAAGGAAATTTTCTGTTTGGTGCCGATGACAGTGTGAATACTTGAATATTTGCACGAATTTTCTCGATTGCAATCCATTGTAAGTATATGCTATGTGAAAATTGATGGTAAATTACATAAAAATTCAACCGCAATCATCGATTTGGGCTGTAAAACATGGCTTGAACTATTTCCTGTGGATTTAATTGATAGTTGGTGACATGTACAAGTACAAATTGTGTGCATTTCAATCAAAACTGAAAGCATTCAGCAGAACATTAATGATGCGTTGAACATTTGCTATCCCTATTTTTTTTTTGTATTACCTTGTGTATGTTTTTACCCAGTTGGCTTTCTGACACATTAACAGGACAATGCCAAATAATTGGGTGATTCTAACACAACCATGTTGTTTGATCATAATGTCAGATTGACATAATTTTGTGAGTTTAAGCATTAAAGTTAACACAGCTGTATGACCTCCTTTGGATTCACTGTTGACTTGATACAGCCAAGTCAAATATGACATGGATCAGTTATTTGACTAGCATTTTGGCAGTTAATTTGGAGGGAAACGTGAACATAGGCATAAAAGAAGAAAATCTGGTCGTCTTCACAAACATACATCTTTGCATGGCCATCTACTTGTTATACTCTTACCGATAGATGTTATGTATTTAAAGCTCCATATTTCCTACTATAATATACTTTCACACTCACTAGCTTTTTTCCTTTTGTTTTCTAGGGTTTACTTCTGCTTATGGCTGAAGCAATAGCAGCTGGTGCTGGTGTGGCAGCAGCAATTATCCAAGGTAAGACAGCATTATGGGAGCCACTTAAGCAAACAATTGCATTATCAAAAGATATGGACGAAATACATGGAGCTTTGGATGATGCAATGCAAACCCTCATTGCGAAAAGGGATGATCATGAGGACATGGTTCAAAGGCACAAGACAACAATGACACCATCCAATGCTTACATCAACTGGAATCACAGAGTAAATGTGGTTGCAAAAGAAGTGGATGATTTAAAAGCCAAATATACAAAGGAAAGGAAAAGGTCATCTTGGTTTTCTATTGGTTCACGTTCTAGCTTCACTAAGAAGATGAGGAAGACAGCCTCTCGGGTCTTTGCTCTTATGGAAGAAGATACACATTTGGTAGATGTTTTGGTTGACAAAAAACCTGCATGTGTTGTGGAGATGATAACTTCAAACATTACAAATATTCCAACTCTCCAACAACCATTAGAACAAACATTGGGTTGGTTATGTGACAAAAAGGTTAGAGGCATTAGAATCCATGGACTTATTGGGAGTGGGAAAACAACGATAATGCAGAATTTGAATAACCATGTCAAGGTTGCTGAAATGTTTGATATAGTAATCTGGGTAACAGTATCAAGAGAAGGAAGCATCGAGAATAGAGGCATCGACCAAATTCAGCAAGTTATTATCCAAAGATTGAAACTAAATATCGGGGTTACCACTACCATTGACCTAATTGCATCTAGAATAAGAGAAGAGTTGACAAACATCAAGTACTTGCTACTTCTTGATGATGTTAAGGAAGATCTGAGCCTAGATAAGATTGGAATTCCTATAAGCGAGAATGGTAGCAAAATAGTATTTACAACTAGGTTACGACATGTTTGCTCCTCAATTGCAACGAGACAAACCAATGTTGCAACATTAAACAGAAAGGAAGCATTGGATATGTTCAAAAGTGTATTGGATCGACCACATCTTGCAGAAAACTCCAACATTAAACGTCTAATGCCTCTTATAGTCAATTGGTGTGGTTATCATCCACTCATGATAAAGGTAGCAGCAGGGGTGTTTAGAGTGAAGGAGACCGAAGAGAGTTGGCATGATGGTTTAATAAACTTGAGAAAATGGCCAGAAAAAGGAGATGATACCATGCAAGAAATATACAAGTTATTGGCATGTTTTTTTGATTCCTTGAAAGTTGTCCAAAAGAAATGCTTCTTTTATAGTGCATTGTATCCGGAAGATAGTGACATTCAAAAGGATTGCCTACTAGACAATTGGGCAGCAGACGAACTTCTCGACACAGTTGATGATGTGGAAGGAACACGTGTTAGTGGACGTGACATATTGGATTATCTTAAGATGCTCTCATTGGTTGAAGAAAATACTCAACAGTGTATTAGGATGCACAAATTGATTCGCCTAGCCGCATTATATAATTTGTCAACTAACGAAGACCAAGAAAATCTAGTAAAATTTGGTGAAGCATTGAAGAAGCCCTTGGATGTGGAATGTTGGAAAAACAAGAGATGGATCTCACTCGTTGATAGTAAAATGAATGCATTACCTGACGAACCAGATTGTCCAAAGCTTTCGACGCTATTTTTGCAGAAAAATTCTAATTTGGAAGTCATTCCACGAGCATTCTTTAATCATATGAAAGGTCTTCGTGTCCTTGACTTATATGATACGAGAATTACATCATTACCAAGCTCTGTTTTGAACCTAGTCACCTTGAAAGTTCTCTATTTGCAAAAGTGTGTGGCCTTAGTTGAGCTTCCTCATGATATTGGAAATCTTCAAAAACTCGAAGTGCTCGATACCCGTGGCAGCGGATTAGCGAACATACCACCTCAAGTCGAGAGATTGATCTGTCTAAGGCGTTTGTTGGTATCTTTCACTAGCTCATCAAGTAGCTCTCCTATTCAAGAAGCAGCTGAAGACATCAAAGTAATCTCCAAGATTCCTAAGCTTAAAGAATTGGTAATTGATGTTGAGGAAGGGCTGGAGAAACTTTTATATGGTTTGATTGTCAATGTTTTTACGTTAACAAATCTTTCACTTCTTCAATTTTGTTCTCCTAACAAGGTGGTAGATCTCATCAAAGCTATAGGCGGTAGTTGGAAGATCAACTTTCCTAATGAAAAACTTCTTCAAAAGTACATCGACAAGGTAGAAAGCTCTAAACTCAAAAACTGCCAAATTTTTATAGGTTGTGATATCTCATCGCCTCCTCACATTATGAAGTTCATGCCATATTTCAAGTTCAATGGAGAAGTTAGCAATAACACAATCTCACAAGTACTTGGTAATGATGTTGCAATTGAATTGGTGAATCATAATGAACTTGAGCACTTATCCAACTTCACTCCTGCAAACATGAACAAAATCCGTAGTTGTGTTATCAAAGGTTGCAACAAGATGAGGACCATAGTGGATGGTAACACGGGAGGTAGCTTGATATTAAACAATTTGGAACAATTACACATGATCAATTTGCCATTTTTGAAGAACATCTCAGAAGGTCCAATGCAAGGTCTAAATAACTTGAAAACTTTGATTTTATGTAACTGTCCCATGTTGACATGGGTATGTACATATGGTGTAATTCTACAACTTCCTGAGATTCGTCATCTAGAAGTCAAAGGGTGCTCCGAGATGAAAGAAATATTCAGTGGGTCTGTAAATGTTGTTTCTCCGGTGCTTCCAAATCTAAAGAAACTAATACTTGTTGATATGCCTCAACTTACAAGCATACTGGTAAGTAACTCATTTGAGTGGCCTTCTTTGGAGAGACTTAAGATTCTTGGGTGTCCCGAATTGAAAAGATTACCTTTTCAAAAAGATGGTGCTGCAAAGCTGAAATCCATTGAAACAGAGAAAAGTTGGTGGGAAGCTTTAGAAAATGACAAGGATGTTAAAGAACAATTTCGACGCTATTGCACCTTAAGGTAAGAGGCCATTTATCCTTAATAAAATCTTTAGAGTACTAGTTATATTTTACTGAAAAGTTAGATGATTATATAATCTATCATAGCAAAAAGAGATGCATTTGCGAACTTGAGCAACAAACATATATAGCAAACATGGATTGTCAATTGTATTTATTTTAAGGGGTTTTGACAATAAAAAAGAATTTTTTTCAAGATATATCTCAGATCATATAGTTTATGTCAACTCATGTTAAGTAATTATCTTTGTAAAAACAGGGAAAAAGAATATTCCTTTTGGCATTGTAATATTGTTGGCCATTCTAATTATTTAGCAACTATACCTTGTAAATGTTAATCGCCTCTCTACTTATTTAGCTACTATGTGTGATGTTCCGATCCTACATTCCCATTATCCTAAACATTTATCCCTAATGAGCCTTAAAAGCAACATTATTTTAACAAGGAAAATTGGGTAATTTATGGCAGTTTATTTTTTGGCCAGAAGTATCAGGCAAAACATAATGTGCCAATACAACAACGGAAACTTGTTTTAGTCAGTAGTATAAGCACCAAACAAAAAATTGGGTAAAACTAAGATAAATCTGTTAGAATATGTAGACAGAATGGTCTGAGTTGGTGTAACTATTGCTTTATGTTTTAACAGCTGAAGAGATCATGAAAATGCAAATGCCAATTTATGTCTGATGATGTGGTAACTACTCTAGTGGCTGCAGCGCATTGGAATAATTGTATCACATGTTACCTTTACCATTCCAATGGGATTCTAGGTTATGTTGTTGTAGCACATATTAATATGTATTTGCTTTCATAAAATCCGTTACCACACGCCTACATATGTTGTTACTTGTTACATGTTTGTTCGATTTTATTTATACATTGGTGGAAGTTTTTGCTTAGTTATCATGTAAACCATGTATAGATTTTATCTGAGAAGTTTCTTGTTTTTCTGCAATAAAGAGAATGATACATCTATGTGTCCATTGTGTAAACTATAAGGAGGTTTTCCTTCGGTCTCGGCTTAATCGAATTTGTTTTACATGAAGTTTTATTGATTGTTACATGATTCTTGAGTTAGTAGTTCGTAAGTTTTGGTGATTGTGGTAGATATTTCTGTAGCTTAAGAAGCTGGTTTTGTTAAAGTCTGAGTCTAGATAATAATTCTGCTCAGGGAAACATCTTTTGTATCACATATGTTAATGTATAGCAGTCAACTGTGGCATTACCCTATCAATATATAGTAGCCAGATAGTGTATCATGCTATAAGGAAGAAATATGATAAAAGTGCATATGGTCAACGTATAAAACACTGCTACGCAGTCTTTATTTTCCATTACACATCCCAAAGTATTAAATGTTCCACTCTCTTATCTGAACAATGTAAACAAGGGACATCACATATTCCATACAAAAGGCATAATACAAACACTACATTATCCATACAAAAGACATACTTATTAGAAGCAATACAACAATACATAAACCCTTTCCTGAAAACACTGCATCCACCAAGAAGACCATCAAAACCAGAACTACTAAACATCTAAAATTCACTAGTTTTGTCTTTCATTTGGTCCAACTCCAATTTCGTAGTGTCTAATTTTTGTAAATATGATTGCATTCTCATTGTAAATGTTTGAAAGTTATAAACATCACCTGTAATATATATATTTTTTATAGTTTCACTTACCTAACATGCATTCACACTATCACACAATGTTTTCAAAGACTACAAACAAACTATAATCAAGTAACCAACAATATACAAATTCTTCACACAATGCTTTCAAAGACTACAAACAAACTATAATCAAGTAACCAAAAATATAGAAATTCTTCTTGAAAAATACATCATATACTACGAAACAAAAGTCTGTACAACTTATAACAAAGCTATCACATTTTCTAACAATTGGGTGTAAAATATATAAATAGTTCACTACTACAAAAAGATATACAAAAGTGTTGATTTGCTTCGCCTTCAACGCTTTCCAAGTGTCTACTATGAAGTTAAACTTTGCCCTCTCCCTTATCACTAGATCACCAGGAATAAAATACTTTCATTCTAGCAAGTTTCGGCATATGTAAATCACACCCAAACATACACCTTTTAACACACACTTCGTTTTTAAATTCACATAGGCGTGTGTCCACTTGCACTGTTTCTTTCTGCTTCCTTAGTAAGCTCCCCAATACCTAACACACATTAAAAGAAATCATACTATTTCAATACATATTAGAATCCCTTATACCCCGTTCGGTAGTGGTGAATTGATATGCTTTCAAGTTTCAGATGATAAAGAATGATACAGTTTATGAGATCAATTGATATTAAGATATCAAGATAGGAAACTTCACCTGTGGTAAAAAAAAAACTAATCACTTAAATGAGGGAGAATGTTCACAGCATCAGCAAGTTCATCCATAATGTCACCATTTGTTCCAAGTGGGATGAAAACATTAGCCAGATAGTTAGGTCGACCACGGGTCCACTCCGGTTCACACCATTTCAATGCATCCCACCATTCATTCTCTCCTTTAATTTCCTTGATATCATTATCAAATGCTTTCATGTAGGATAGTTTCTCAAGTTTTGGGCAATCATAAACGACAAGACTTACCAATCGTGGGGCAATACTTATACCACGAGAGATGCTAACCAATTCAGGGAGGTGTAGAAGTGATATCTTTTTCAAGCTTGGAAGATAACGAGTTGATGTGGAGTTGTAGGACCCCAAACTAACAAGGCTATTGATCATACTACAGTCTTCAACGATAAGACACTCTAAGCAAGTGAGACCTTCAAGCAACCCCTGCGTAAAAATGGTCCTCAACTCAGGGCATGAATGCATCGCCAAGGTTTTTAGATTGGACAGACACCGACTATGAATTGGACCATCCAAGATGCAACCAAGACTCTTCATGTAATGAACTGACAGATGTTGTAATGATCCAAGAAATGATCTATAGAAAAAATCTTCTACATGGCGTCCATTGACAATCTGCAGCATCTCATTGCATTCCGATAACATGCAGAATTTCAGCTTCTCCATCTCCGCCAGCCCAAAGGCAGACAAGGACTGGAGAGTCCAGTGGCGATCTAAGAAAAGAGAATTAGCATGTTTTAGCACCCTGGAAATCACTTGTGTGTCCCCCTCGCCATTTGTATATGTCAGGCACTTTGGCAGTTTTGCAAAGGTCTTAGTAAGGTCAAGTGGGACACGGGATATGAGACGTTGTTGCAGGTGACCAACAACAAAACCAAAATTTGACAAATGTTGGTAAAGAGGGACCCCTCTCCAGTTCAGTGTCTCCATAAACATCTCCAGCAGTTCTATGGTAGGGAAATATAGTCTCAAAGATTCCAAGTTCCAAAACTTAGGCAAAATGTCAATGATAAGTTTGACCTCATCCTCCCACCATTCACCATAAAAATCCACACAAATGCTTAGTTCCTTTAACCTTATAAGTTTTGACAAAACTGCTACATGAATTATTTGCATACTTTGGTTGCTTGCTTTGGGCTTGTCTGGAAAGTTGTACAAAGAAAACTTCAAGCATTCCAACTTGGTTAGCGATCCAAATTGCTCTGGTAAGCATACAAGCTGTGTTCCTTCTGAATCAAATACCTTGAGATTCTTAAGGGCTCCAATTTCAGGTGGTAGTTCCATCAAAAGGTCACAGTTTCTTATGAATAACTTTCCAAGAGTTGTTAACTTGGAAATGGAAGATGGCAAACATTTTATGCTCGTGCTTGACAAATCTAGAACTTGGATGCTAGGCATGTTATCAAAGAATGTGATGGGAATATCAATCAGATCTTGATTGAAGTGCAAGAATAAATTTACAAGAATTGGGCAGTTGGGGTTATCTGGAAGCTCGGATATTACGTTATTACTTAAGTGGATTTCCCTTGCATCCCACTCTTCAACGTTTGGCATTCTGTTTGATTCTGAACCATCTTGCTTAAGATAAAGTCCATATGCACGAGGTGCAAATTCAGCAACTAAAATAACTCGAGTCTCATCTCTCATTCTAACACAATTATTCCCGACTTGTTCTAGAAGGAAGGAACGTATGAGGTCTTCAAAGACATTTTCTCCTTCCTGTACAGTTTTTACCAACCCATCTCTAATCCAACTGTTTATCAACAAAAATTTATCAAAGTCTGTTCCTATGTAGCGTGTTGCAAATTGTATAATGCACCTTTGAGACAAGCTTTCCATGCGAGACCAAATAAATCTTAACACCTTCACCATGACATCACTTGTGACACCCAACTGTGATGATGATGAAGACTCTTTTTGTGAGGCTAATTCCTGTAATGCAAATTCCCAAACACCAACTTGAACCACACCTCTCAAAGCCCTTGCAAGTAAAATGATGGCGAGTAAATGGCCATGACACTTTTCGATTAAACGTGTTGCCATTTCTTGAATCCTAGTGTACTTGCTCACTGTTTCTAGGTCAACATTTGCAGAGAATAATATCCAAGGTAGAAGATGATCCTCAACTCTGATCTCTATATCCACTGGGCAATAAGCATTTTCTGATCCACTTGTCATCACTATCTGCACAGTTTCAAACCATTTGGACAATTTGAACTCAGGGTCATGCAAATCGATATAAGTGTCACTGCAATCTACGAACAACAAACAGTTCAGGTACTTTTCCACAACAATTGTTTCATTGTCAGTTTCTGAGCTTCTTTTCCTCCACAGATATATTTCTTCTTCTATATCGTTCACAAGCTCTTTGATGTTATGACGTTTTACACGCACACACGAGACCATATCAAACGCGCTTCTTAACTCTGGCATATTCTTCAATGTTTCTGCTACTTCCTGAGAACCACTTCCCGGAATACCAAGCTTCTTGACTTTCAAATCCTTGATACAGTTTACAGCTCTGTGGGTAGCCGAAGCAACTACACTAGCATGGACTTCTGGTATACCTGACCAAAAACTTGCAATAGAAACCTGCCCAGAGTTGACTCCTGTTGCTAGATTTTCAATTCCTACAGACCCGAAACTGTTGTCTTCTGGTAAATAGGCCACCATATCAAAATGAGCATCATCTAAACGTTCTTCAATGTCTTGAAGAAGTGTTTGAATTTCTATCAGGTAGCTTCCATCCCTTGGAGAGTCCAGTGACGTTCTTATGTACTCATTTAATGAGGAAAATTTGTCTAAGAGAGACCTAAAGTCTACCTCTGCTTCTTTTTTCACATGGTAAAACCAGATGAGGTGTAAGAAGTCCTTCATCCTCATCAAGGCATCAGCTCGTTGTATATACTCCAAGTGCATCAATTCATACAAGGATTTTGTTTGGTCTTCATCAATGACTTCATGGTTTGGCTCACTAGTTGGATCAAACTCGTCACTAGAGTACCTGATGCTTTGCTGTGAACTTATTTTAAGGCGCTCATATGATTTTTCAGATATAAAATCCACATCCTTTTCTGGCATGTCACCATAATCACCCTCATGCTGGTTGGATTTGGGAGACAAAACCTCAATGTCCTTTTTAAAGTAGCTTCTCCCTGAAAAAGCAATATTATCATCTTTTTGCAAAAAGAACTATACTAAAGAATGGTTACATGGCCAACATACTAAACATCAACATGGAATCACCCAAAGAAAAAAGAGTAGGGTGATATATGTATGTATGTATGTATGTATGTATATATGTGTGTGTGTGTATATATATATATATATATATATACACACACACACACACATATACATATATATATATATATATGTGTGTGTGTGTATATATATATATACATATATATATATACATATATATATATATACACACACACACACACACACACAAATACACACACACACACAAATACACACACACAAGCACTTGAGGTAAGTCAAATGATACATAGTGCTTAAGCAAGCCCATAGAATGTACATGTTATCATCATTCTTTTACTTTTCTTCTTTTTACTTGAATAAACCAAGATATGACACAAACTTTTAATAGAATCGTCTCTTTTTGGCCAAATATAGAAAGAAATAATTTAATATCTCAGTATCACTAACTTCTCTTGTATGCATTTTATCTCACAAAGTCAACTTCATATTAGTTAATTTGATTCCTTAGAAATTAAGCAATGCACCAGCTTAAGAGGAAGGACGCTGTTGGATACAACTTCTATGCAGTTTTTATAACAAGAATTCTGGTGACAATAACAGAAGTGGTATTAAAGAATTACTTTATTCCAAATGGAGAACAACAGGGGACTGAACAAGTGGAGAAGAAGAAATTGGAGAATTAAAAGGGCCAAAGAATGATGTATGAGGAATACAAGTATGTATGATAAAGAGGACAAATGATGATTAAAGAGTACTCTCTGAATGAAGAGCTAATTAAGAGAGGACTAAAAGGATTTCAGTCCATTTACTGATTATCTTATGAAAATACTTGTGTTAATGTTGTATCCTCTGTCTCCTAGAAATCCTCCGAGCAGACACTTGGTCAAGATTTATACACTTATACATGAAAGTATGTATAGAAATATGATGCGACAGTACAGTATCAGTATGTATTCATATACAAGGAGACAATATAGAAAAAGTATGGCTTTACCAGAGTTCTCTCCATAGGAAAAGAAATGCTTCTGGAAGCCCGAATCAGATGTAGTTATTCCTATTTGGGGAATTGAACTATCAGTTCTCTCATGTAATGCCATTATAGACTCAAGACCAAAGAGAACCTCAGCCATTGTAATACGTGGCTCTTGATGTTCACGCAAACAGCATTTCACTATTCTTGCATAATCATTTAAGCATTTAAGCGAAATCTGCCCCTTCAAATCTGGATCAATGATCTGCTCTACTTTCCCTGTTCTTATACAGTGTTGAGCCCATCTCACCAATCCCCGTTGTTCCTCATCAAGATTCCAATCGGTTGCACGCCTCCTGCATAACACTTCCAATAGAACCACTCCAAAGGAATACACATCAGACTTCTTGCTTAGTCTGCCTGTTGTATAAAACTCTGGATCGATATACCCAAATGTGCCTGCAACTTGCGTAGTAACATGGGTAGACCAGTTATCAGTGGGGATTATTTTAGACAATCCAAAGTCTGTGAGTTTGGCTGCCCATTGGTTATCTAACAATATATCAGCGCTCTTCACATTGTTATATATGACCTCTTTCCCACTACTCCCATTGTGGAGGTAGTGTAATGCACGTGCAGCATCAATACATATGTTGAGCCTTTGTGACCAAGATAACGGAGTACGATGCTTGTGTAGGTGCTCTCCAAGGCTTCCATTGGACATATACTCGTAAACAAGAATCATCTCTTTACGATCAGTACAAGATCCAATTAAAGACACTATGTTAGGGTGTCGCAACATAGGAAGCAAATCAACTTCAGCCTGAAACTCGGTGGCACCTTGATGAGAAACAGGGTTCCACCTCTTAAGAGCCACCATGATTCCTGTTCCACTCTTGATTGTGCCTTTGTACACGTTCCCGAATCCACCTTTCCCTATGACCAAACTTTCGTTGAAGTCTTGAGTGGCGGATCGAATTTGAGAAATTGTAAATTGATGGAAACGTTCTCCCTTTGGGGACGATGATCCGGTCTCCTTACTAGATGTAGATACAGGTGGCAAATTGGACGGTTTGGATATGTTGCCATCATCTCCCTTATGCCGGAGGGATTTGGCAGACAAAAGCCTTGTGACCTTGCTAAAGTAGCTTCCCCCTGAAATGAAAAGCAATATTAGCATGTGTTTGCAAAGAAAAGTATACTAAAGATCAACAAGGAACTACCGAGGAATGTCAAGAACAGAGTGATACATGGATAAAGAACATACATACATAATTTTATATATACACATATGGAGGCACTAGTTAGTGTAGTAAGTCAGAAGAAAAATACCCACCCCAACTAAGACTAGAAGCAAAAGTACTTTAAGTAGATAAATGCCGATAGGCAATAAGACAGAAAGCTGAACTCAAGGACCAATGATGCCTATTCAAGGTTTGATATGGGTGATTGAGTGATTCCACAAACATACAAGTAGTAATGGATACATTATTATATATATAACCAACATTTTTTCATCCATTACTCCTGGTGTTTTTCTTTGTCTTATGAAAAAGTTGTACTAATGTTATATCTCTTCATTCTAAACATCGACACTTGGTTAACATTATATACATATGAAAGTCAGCTTCACTAGCTTTTTTTGGCAATCATATATTACGAGGATTTTAAGGACATAACGTTACTATGGTACTTATAATTTGACTTATTTTTCATCTTGTGTGCATTTCATAATAACATACTAGATTTATGAAAAAAAAATACATATATTTTCACAAATCGATGCACCATGGCAGATTATAAATTTATACACATGCAGAAAATATAATTGAGGTTTGTTTTTACCAGAGTTCCGTCCGTAGGAGAAGAATTGCTTATCCAACCTCCTACCAGATACATTTATACCCATTTGGGGAATAGAATTATCACTTCTCTCTTGTAATGCCAATATAGACTCAAGACCAGTAACAATCTCAGCCATTGTAACACGTTGCTCTTGACTTTCATGTAAACATCCTTCCACTACTTTCACATAATCATTCAAGCATGTACTCGAAATCTGCCCCTTCAACTTTGGATCAATGATCTGCTTTAGTTCCCCTCTTCTCATACAGTCTTGAGTCCATCTCACCAGTAGTTGCTGTTTCTTATCAAGATTTCTATCGATTGCACGCCTCCCACATAGCACTTCCAATAAAACCACTCCAAATGAATACACATCAGACTTCTTACTTAGTCTGCCAGTTGCTATATATTCTGGATCTACATACCCAAATGTGCCTACAACTTCAGTACTAACATGGGTTGAGTAGTTATCAATAGGGATTATTTTAGACAATCCAAAGCCTGCAATTTTGGCTGTCCACTGGTTATCTAACAATATATCAGCGCTCTTCACATTGTTGTATATGACCTCTTGCCCACTAGTCCCATTGTGGAGGTATTCTAACGCACGTGCAGCATCAATACATATCTTGAGCCTTTGTGACCAAGATAATGGAGTATGATGCTTGTGTAGGTGATCTCCAAGGCTTCCATTGGACATATACTCATAAGCAATGATCATCTCTTTGTCATCAGTACAATATCCAAGCAAACACACTATGTTAGGGTGTTGCACCATAGGAAGTAAATCAACTTCAGCCCCAAATTCTCGGACACCTCGAGAAGAATTGAAGTTCCACCGTTTAATAGCCACAATGATTCTTGTTCCATTATCGATTATGCCTTTGTAGACGTTCCCGAATCCACCTTTCCCTATTAGCAAGCTTTCGTTGAAGTCTTGGGTGGCAGATCGAATCTGAGCAATTGTAAATTGATGGCAAACTAGTTTTCCCTTTGGGGACGAGGATCTGGTCTCCTTACTAGATGTAGGTAGAGGTGGCAAATTGGACGCTCTGGATGACCAGTCGATACTAGATGTAGATACAGGTGGTAAACTGGACGGTCTGGATGACGAGTCGGAACCGTAAAGGGAACCATCCTCAAGGTGTAGCTGTGACGACATTTGTGTTCTCTCTTAGCAATTAACGCCAACCCAAATGACTTCAAACCGTAATATAGTAGAAAAAAACCACCTGCTCAAGAAGAACTCGTTGTATCAAATCTTGTTTGGAGTTTCAATAGCAAGGACTGCTGAACTGTCGCCGGAATTCCCTCGGCCAACGGAGTTGGTGCGATTAGGTTTCAGAAAATTCTTCGGTTGTCGATACTTGATTATACTTCTGTCCCTACCATCACCTTTTAGCAAAAATTTTCCTCCTTCAATTACTCTGTGTTTCTTTGAGGATAACAACTTTATCGTGCGAGAGAGGCGTTGACCAACGGGCGCTCAAATATTCCACCTTCTTGTACAGTCCACGAATGGAATTAAGTTTTCTAAGCGTGCTATTTTATACTTTTTTATACCGATAGTTGGTGGATTATTATTATATATACTATTAATTGTTAAAAATTTGGTGAACAGTAACTTTTGCCAATTCTCATTTCTGCCACATTTTTTTCCTTCATTTACTACTTTGGCCACACCTGTTGCTTCTTTTTACTTCGCCGTCACTTTTATTTAAATTTTTTTTTTTACAGACCGCCTTAAAAATTTTGGTAATCGTTATCTTCTACACCGCCTTAACATCTTTATGTTTCCAGCACCTTGTCTTACCAATCAGATGCAAGAAACCCCGTTCCAACATTCTTCTACCGTACCTTCACCCTTGCTTATGTGTATCGTATGGGTTTGATTGTTTGCCTTAATTGTGCCATTTATGTGATGATAGAATTTTGTGTTTCTTCGGAAGCAATCGGAGCTGATGGTAAGGACTGTGAAGAATCATCATCACGAAGAAGAAGATGATGACGAAGATTTCATTCGGAGAACAACTGAGGGCTACTCACAGAAAGGTTTTTTTTCCTCATAAACATATACGTATTTTTTATAATTGAAATTGAACTTTTCAATTGAATGTACAGATGGAAGGATCTCTTATCTCTTGCTTCCATTCCACTTCTGAATGACACGCACAGGCAAGCTCATCGCTTTTTTCCGGATGTTAGCCCATATTCTCGCCACCGCCATCATATTCCGTAATCTGGCTTTTGGTTGTTGGCTTCTTGATTTCGATCGTCGTGCACAATTGGGTAGTAACAATCATAATCCAACCCCTGCTCCAATCTCTTTCTTTGTTCTTATTTCTAATTTCAAGTTCAAGACCTCAATATGTGTGTGCTCTCTGCAGTCGTGGGTTTTCCATCTTGTGTGAAGTCAACGAAGAAGACGAAGGCCGGCTCCGCTGCTTGCTGTAGAGATTTCTGTTTTGGTGGTATCGTCTTACTACCCGTGGTGCCCAATACAGTCCTAAATTCGATTTGTTAGAAAAGGTTAGCAATCAGCATAATGTATTCAAACGATGCACTCCAAGTGTTTGTGAAAATGCCAATATCATTATTTTTTTTAATATCTTGTGTGGCCGACGAATCAAAAAATCCTTCTATAATTCTTACGAGTGAAATTTAACACCGTCTGAAAAAGGCCGAAAATTGAAAGGAATATGTGTAATTAGGACCAAAATTGCAAAAGTAAAAGGTTAGGTCCAAAGATTGCAAAAACTTATGGAACTTAGACCCTTAGTGTTTAAGAAGTAAGTGGAAGCCATAAACGATTTCACCCACACCTTCAAACTCGCTGATCAGGTGCTAATTGGTATACCACATTCTTAACAAAATGTCTAAAATACCCTTTTCTTTATTTGGTTTGATGTAATTTCATTTTTTTTTTGTGTATAGTTTTTTTTGCAAGCAAAGGCAATATGTCCTTTGGATCCACTTGTGTATAATGAGCTTGGAGTTGTTGCTTATCATATGAAAGAGTACACATTCTTTACTCCGTTCTTTATTTGAGTAAACCAAAAAAATAACCATTTTGCCCTTTGGTGTATGTGGTATGTTACTTTTTCTACCTACAATCCAAAAATGAGTATTGTGTCTGAAAAATATTCTTATAGCTAGGTTTCGTTTCAAATTTCGTCGACTTTTGCTTTTTTTTAAATGATGCTTTTGCCCTTGGTTAAATTTTATAGGTATAAAAAGGCGGAATGGTGGTCTAAAAAGACTTTGGCTCACATATCATCACCATTAAGCGAAATGTGGGAATCAACTGTGGTTAATCTTGCTCATACTTCAAGAAAACTCAAGTAACTTCACATTTCATTTATTTTCATAATCTTTACAATTTATAAAAACTTATTATTTATAAAAGCTATCATCAGTACATTTCAATTTGATATTTTTTTTAGTTTGTTGTTTTTTGAGTATTTTTATGGCTTTTTTTGAAAATTCCAAAATATTTTTTGGTAGTTTATATGGATTTTGAAAAATTAGCATTAATATATTCTTTTGATCCTTGATATTCACCCTAACAAAAATGAAACATACTTTAAGAAAAAAATTTAGAGTTTTTTTCTAATCGTATTTTAGCGAATTTTTTGATGAGTTTATCGTCACCATCTGCTACCACTTCCATTACAATTTGTTTTTTTTTATTTAGTTTCAATTTTGATTCCCCATGGGAGCATACCTGTTCTACTTCCTTGAAGCAAAGTGAATACATAGCAGCCATCAAGATAAATGAATTGAACAAAGGTTGAAGATGTCTTGTATTTGCAGGTTATTTATAATTGGTAAACCTTCGTTCCTATTTAAGTTATAATAAATATAATACTTTATGGTTGTTTTTGTTTTTTTATTAAGAATACAGTTAATCAATTAGTGTTTTGGAAAAGTGAACAAACATAAAAAACAGGAAACATTATAAGTTGGCTTTAATAGAAGTGGAGCAGGGAGTTTGGCTGCTAAACAATTATATATACATATTAAACTTGGACCATGTTGGGGAACAGTAAACCTCAGTATTTTTTGTCACAAATGCTCCTTTCTTTTACTGTCTGTTTACTTTTTCTTTTTTTTGTCTGTTTTTTCTATTTTGGAGGGTGTTGTTTGACAGTTTTTATAGATTTTGTTTGCCTTTCGCCCACGTGTTCGTTCGCCGTTTTCTTATCCAATTACGCTTTCACTGCTGTTATTTTTTATTTTTTTAAAATTTTATTGTTTTCTTGGGTGTTCTCTTCTGTCTAATGTTGTTGTCGGTTTTCATGTGGGCATTTTATGCCATTTTGTATGTTGTTTATGGATAGGTGTTGTGTTCACCGTTTTTTGGGCCAATCAGCTATCGATTTCTGTTGTTCTAATCTACAACCCACCGCTCCATCTGGATCCTTCCCCGAGTGATTCTCTGTAGAAGCTATTGAGAACCACCATCCCCACCGTTTACTCTTATCATATCTCTCTCTCTCTCTCTCTCTCTCTCTCTCGATCAAAGACTATTCGCTACCTCGACCCGCTTTGGAATTGTTCCTCTTTCCTTTTTTCTCTGTCTCCACCCGATTGTTCCGTGTTGATCAGAAGTTGTTGTTGGAGATGACCAGAACATGACCTCCACCGCCATTGAGTATGTAAATAGGCCACGACTACGAACAGAGTCGTCAGTATCAACTGCAGCCGCCGACTACTCAGCATCGCCTCCACCTTTACAGACACATCGTCATCACCTTTCGCCACCGACTCACCGGTACGCTGCTCATCCAATTTATCCGTTCAGTTTCTTCCCAACGTTTGATTTCTATCGTCTCTTGCAGATGACTTAATGGATTACTTAAAATAGTTCAATAATTCCTCACGTTTCCACTGAAAGATAGAGATCGATAGAGAAGGTAAAGAAACAAAAGTTACAAATCGATTGTTTGTGCTTGTGTGTTCGATTGTTGCTAACGAAGAAGGTAGATAAAGAAAGGGATAAATAGAGATTAAGAGGAGAACAAAGCCTCTAAACTTTGTGGAGAAACTGAAGAATAAGCCGGTGAACTACCGTGCATCGTTGCCTTCTTTTTGCTCTCTCTAATATCTGGCTTTTAATAAAATAAAAAGTAGAAATAATAGATGTGGTTACCCCAAATTACTCAACTGATATCGTTTGTGTCCAACAAAAACAGTCTTTAAGCACTTACTTTTCATGTTCTTGTGTAGATTTCAGACAGAACAGAAAATAGAAAAGCAAAGGAGAGCAGCAACTGCAGATCGATCGCAGAGGAAACTACGGGAATATCTTCATGGTTCGTGTAATGAGGGTATTATTGTAATATGCAATGAAGTCAGTTCCTATGGTTGAGATTGACGGATTACAAAGCAGTTGCTCTTAAACAAAGTCAGAAGGTCCAACAGGAGCTGGTATGTATTTTCTCTTATAACCTACTTTTAAGATCCAAACCTCTTCAGTAGTGATAATAGCCTTAATATGCTGAATTGATGTATTAATAGCCTTACCAGAAATTTTAGTAGACAAACCAGTAAAGAATTTCAAACATGATCTAAACTAAAAACGCATACCTTTGTTGGAATCTTGATGATGGATTGATGTTTATAACGCTACATACAAAATAGAACATGTTTTCTTTTTTATGACAATTTGCTTCGTGTTCGTTAATGCATAACTTTGACATATTTGGTGAAAATTTTGATTTATCTATTAATTAGAATCAAAGGAAGGACTATACGTGAAGAACTTTATATACAAAAATTAAAATGAATTTTTGAGTCAAAAATATTAGACAGCGAGGTTTAACATTGCAAAAAATAGTTCAAAAATGTGCTTGACTACAAATTCATGTATATGATGTTGTGCAATAAGACAAATTTCAAAACCAAATTATAAAATGTAAAATTTGCCATAAATTCTACCATGATGATTTTTTTTAACAGTTAAACTATTGATATATTTATGTATCACAATTGAAACTATTCTATGGAAGATAACAAAAATTGTCATATATAGTTATTCTAAAAGATACAGTAACATTTTTTTTAACTACTGAAAGGATGCTGTAAAAGAGTATTTCCGAAGGCAGATGGTCTGAAAAATATGTATCCCGGTATGTTTTCTTTCATTTATGTAAATTCGTATCTCGATACACTTTCATACATTTGCATCCCGATACGTTTGCTGAAAAATTCGTATCCCGGTATGCTTGCTGTAAAAGAGTATAGTTTGAACCGAGTCATTAGAGTTTTCATACATTTGCAGATGGAAAATTAAATCAAAAAATAAATGTCTTTTAATTATATACTGGTATGGAGGGACTAAAAAGAAATTGACTGTTTGTTGTAAAGTCACTATCTTCTTCATTTCTTTCATGTCCTTCACACACAAACTTCATATGATGTGCAGGTTTGAAAGAATTTGAAGGGGGTGAGAGAGAATGACTGAATGAGCTATTGCTCAGATGACACAAAATTACGGCTGGTGCAATTAAACAACCCAAAAAGGTATCTGTTTAAAACTTTTAATTTTTTTCTGAAGAACACGAGGGATGCTTGACTTTTATATTTTTAGTGTTTTGTGAAGGGTTTCATTGACATGTTTGGATTCGTTTATAGGCAAGAGCTTAATATTGTGATTAATTTGGTGTTAAAAGCTTACTAGCATTCTATTTTTCAAAGTTTTAATGCAGTTGATAAACATATAAAGGACGTGATGTTTATATTAATAAAAATCAATTGTTACAGTCTTAGGACAATATTGCCCTAAACACTGTTTTTTTATTAATAAAAGTCAATTTTTATAGTTTTAGGACCATATTGCCCCTCCACACTGTCTTAATATTAAAAAAATAATTTTTTGCATTTTTAGGACCATGTGCGCACTTTTTATATTGATAAAACCAATTTTTTCAGATTCAATACCACATTGAATGGAATTTGTTTGCACTGATTCATCCGATGGCACAATCACATCCGGTGGCTACTCTGATCACATGGTTGCTGATGAGCACTTTGTGTTGCATTGGGCAGACAATTTGCCACCTGATTTCGGTGCTCCATTGCTATGTGTTTTGATCACAACTTGCAACCGAACAAAAAATGTCACATCTAACCCCGCAACGCGGGGACACTCACCTAGTTCCTTATAATGAGAGTAGGATAAATGGAAGTGGAACCAATCTCACAATAACTACCTTTTTTGTTTTATTGTTATTTTTGCTGTTTAATAGTTAATTATGAATTAGAATATATTTTAATTTAGTAAATCAATTAATTATATATTTTATTTGAATCATTATCCCCTCCAATTTATCCAATTTTTTTTTTCTATTTTTTTAAGAAAAAAGATTATGTCTTTTTAAGTAAAATCTTTGACTTTTTTCAAACAATTCAACCATGGAATGGAATATCAGATTCCAATTCCGTCGGAATTTGAGAACCAAACGCAGTTGTGGAACACGAATGAGATCCTTCCACCAATAAAGAATAAGATTTTTATTACTTTTAATTTATCTCGATGGTCGGTTCTAATATTTTGATTATGCATCGTTTTTCCACAGACTACACCTAGCATGGAAGGTTCTATAGATATTGTTTCTTCTGGTCGTGGCTTGCAACAAATGGTAAATCATCTCAAAACATTTTAACTTTTTGGGTTCTTTTCTAGGGTAAAATACACTAAATAGCAACATACTTTCAATGATTTGTTTGTCATATGAAGACCCCTTCTGTATATGTAATATGTTTTGATTAATATTATACTATGTTCTACCATTTGATACAGCTTGAAATAAGGAAAAAAAACAAACACAGCGTCAACGACGCGCATGATTCCCCTCTAGTTATTATCATTAGACAAAACTGCAAAAATGGTCTATGTTGTATGATTTTTTTCGAGGTTTAGTCGAAACCTCGTTTCTTTTGGTTTTATGGTCCTTTTGAGGTAAGTTTGTTTGTGGTTTTGGTCCCTCTATAAACTGAAATGACTTTAACGCCCTTCTGATATATTTTTTATGTTTTTTCTATTTAATTTAAATGAAAAAAAATAAATAAATAAGTTGGGCCCACCTCTCTCTCTCTCTCTCTCTGGATGACCAGTCGATACTAGATGTAGATACAGGTGGTAAATTGGACGGTCTGGATGACGAGTCGGAACTGTAAAGGGAACCATCCTCAAGGTGTAGCTGTGACGACATTTGTGTTCTCTCTTAGCAATTAACGCCAACCCAAATGACTTCAAACCTTAATATAGTAGAAAAGAACCACCTGCTCAAGAAGAACTCGTTGTATCAAATCTTGTTGCAGTTTCAATAGCAAGGGCTGCTGAACTGTCGCCGGAATTCCATCGGCCAACGGAGTCGGTGCGGTTAGGTTTCAGAAAATTCTTCGGTTGTCGATTATACTTCTGTCCCTACCATCCCCTTCCTGCAAAATTCTTCCTCCTTCAATTACTCTGTGTTTCTTGAGGATAACAACTTTATCTTCAGTGCGAGAGAGGCGTTGACCAACGGGCGCACCAATATTCCGAGTGTGTTTGTGATTATTTTTAAATAACTTTTCACTTTTACTTTTCAAAATTTAAAAATTCGTGAAATATATATTATTTAAAAGTAATCCCACACACCCCCGGACCTTCATGTACCGTCCACGAATGGAATTAAGTTTTCTAACCGTGCTATTTTATACCTTTTTTATACCGATATTGGTGGGATATTATTATTATTAGTAGTAAAAAAAGCTCTGACTTCGTACCCAATTGTTTTTTTTTTATTTTATTAATATTGTGTTATCATATATTTCATAAAGATTACCCAAAATTCGTTGTGTACAACTCAATGATTTTTTTATGTGGTTGTAAGAAAAGTAAGTTGGGATAAATAAGGCAATGTACTTTAAGTTTTTAATGGGTAAACATGTTTTTATTCTTTTTTCTTGTAGTGGGAATTTTAAACATAAAACTCTTGACTTTTTGTGTGGTTTTTGTTTCAAATCTTGTGTTGTAACTTATCTATCAAGAAGACGTGACTTACGAAATTTTGAAAAAAATATAGAAATGTTTTAGAGGTCATTCAACATCTTGTTTCGGATAGGCATTGTTGGTAAACAGAAAGACCCAAATTTAGTTACAACATTGTACTTTAAAAAAAATATACATCAAATTTAGTAAAGCTTAAAAAAGAAACAGATTAACCTGAATTGATATTGACTAATTGTATAACCAAAATTTACCAATTGTCTGTTACGCCCTTGATACATCACTTAGCCCCAAGAAGTAAGTTTTATAAATTGTATGTTATTCCTTTTCAAGGGGAAACTTCACAGTAACCAAGTAAAAAGTCAAGCATGATGGTTCCAATTGCAGATGCAACTCTTGCTGTTGCATACTCGCCTGCATTCAATAATGGTATTAGATATAAGACTCGAATGAAATATCTTCTTCGGAGAAAATGTGTTTTACCTTCAGGATAATCCATTTTGTGAGCGCCACTGCTTACTGTTGCCCGTAAATAGATCCGAGCAAGTTCTTGTGTGTATTCTGCATGTTGGATCGGAAAGTTAAATTCCTGAACTACAATTATTAATCAAATGAGATCATTCCAAAAATTGCATTGGTTTTTAAATATTTGTTTCGTTTTAATTTTGTGAAAGTAAATTAAGATGAAGTGAAAATACATTGCTATTAAGTATTAACTAACCAAAAAGACGAAAACACACCTTCCATTTTCCCAAGGTTTGGGCCCACAACAGGTGTTTCTGTCAAATCGTCCTCCATTACAGTCTGCATAAACAAATTAAGGCATTGTATTTTTAAAAGTTTTTCTTATTGGTACATTTTACTTTAAAAAAAACCCTTACAGGGGCGAGCTATATGTGGATGAGGATCCGGAATCTTGTGTATTGCACAACTGAAGGGTAATATAGTAAAATAAAAATTAAAACACATATATACCAATTTAAGAAATGATTATAAAATTAATTAGTCTTTGGAGTTTACATGAATCGATTGTCCTTGATATCTTCCAATCCCTCCCTCAATAGGTGATCTGAAAATTTTAGTGCATGGATCCCCTATAGGAATAGATATGTAGCCATCCATTCCATCACTACAAATAACAAAAATTTTGATAAGAAAAAGGTTAAATTACATATATTAAAGTGTAAAGGCATTATGGTAATTCACATTGTCCATGTTATATTATTTTTTACCAATAATAGAAAAGTACTTACATTTCTTTACCATAATAACAACTTAAATATTTTTGCTGATAGTAGCAATATGTAGGACAAAATAGCAACAAAACACCCATAGACTCCTTGAGAAATTACAAAAGTGCCACAAAAGTAAGAAAGGTCAATACAAACCTTGCTTCAGGTTTAATTTGTTCCTTGATGTGCTCCTTGTTCCACGAAGACTGTGACACCCATTGTTATGTAATTTTACTTTTCAGTCCTTTGTGTTTTAAAAATTTGAAAAAAACGTCCTTACGCTGGGCGTATGAAGCTGTACGTCGGGTGTAAACATGATTGCAGAAATCAGGATTAATCGGGGATTTATCGCTTGACTTTCTCCAACCGACTAGAATAGTGTGTTTGTTAGAAATTATGGATTAATCGGTCTTGACAGGATTAATCGGTCAACAAAAGTCAAAAAAATCAAAAATTAAAATTTTTTTTTACTCCAATTTTCAAATATTATACCAAAATGTTCATATTTTTGTATTTTCAAAATTTTAAATTACAAATTCTCTTATTTTCTAATTTTGAAGTACTTATTTTTCTTAAAATATATTAATCTTTGATTAATTTTAATATTTGATTAATAATCTATGATCCCCGATTAATCTCCGCCAAGACCGATTAATCCCGTAACACCAGTCGACCGTCGAGCTACCGTCGAACGACTTTTACAACCTTCGGTGTAAGTCAACAAACTTTGGGCGGGTCAAGGCTTGAGTACGTTGAGCATACATATATGTATATCGGGCATACTCGTGTTTTCTCCAAAACCCTAATCTTTTGGGTTGTGACTACTATTTAAGCATCATAACCCTCTTGAACCTTTCTTATGACCAGCCTCCAAACCCTAAAATCGAACCCTAGCTTGTATAAGAGAGATTTGAAGCTTGAAAGTGATTCTTGAGTGTTTTTTTTATTGAAGGAAGATCATTCAAGAGGTGGTGGTGCATTTTAGCTTGTAGATCCAGAATCTTCATCTCCTAGTGCACCTTTTTAAGGTATAAAGTTCAAACCTTGGAGCTTATTTGGTTAGATCTTGTTTAGCCTTGGATTTTGGTTCTTTTTGTCTCAAATCTTTGATCTTTATGAGTATGGAGTACTCCAAAGCTTATAAGTCGTCCTTTCAGACGTTTTAAGATGTCTAGAGTCATAAAAATGTTAGCTTGGTCCTTTCCTTTCCCCCATACAAGAGTTATGGATGCATGCTAAGTCATTTGGGTCGTGTCTTTTATATCATTAGTGAGTAGGACGAATCTCTGTTGGTTGTACTTGTAATCTCTGTTTGAGAACCGTGTGAATAAAGAATACTCCTCTCCTGCTCATGGACGTAGGTCACCTTGACCGAACCACATAAATATTGTGTATTTGTGTGCTTTTAGTTTTGTGTGTTATCCACATTACTTCCTAATAAGGGTCATGAGAACTTGACAAGTGACATTAGATTTGTTCTGAGTCTTGACAAGTATAGTATATTTTTCCTAACATATAGTTTATGTCAACTCATGTTAATTATCTTGTAAAAATAGGGAAAAAGAATATTCATTTTGGCCTTGTAATATTGTTGGTCATTCTAATTATTTAGCCTCTATGCCTTGTAAATATTAATTGACACTCTGCTTATTTAGCTACTATATGTGATGTTGAAATCCTACTCCCCCATTTTCCCAAACATTTACCCTTTATGAGCCGTAAAAGAAACATTATTTTAGCAAGGACAAATGGGTAATTTATGGCAATTTCTTTTTTGGCAAGAAGTAGGATAATCAAACAAAACATAATGTGCTAATACAACAACGAAAAGTTGTTTTAGTCAATAGTATAAGGGACACACATAATTTTTGTACAAAAATAAGACAAATCAGTTATAATATGTAGAAGATGAATGGTCTGAATTGGTGTAACTCTTTCCTTATGTATTAACAACTGAATAGAATTCAAGAAAATGCAAATGCCAAATTATGTCGAATGATGTGGCAACTCCTGTAGTGGGTGCAGCGCATTGGAATATACATTGATTGCATCATATGTTACCTTTACCCCATTTCAATGAGACTCTAGGTTATGTTGTTGTTGTGTATTACATGTTAATATGTATTTGTTTTCATAAAATTTGTTACCAAACGTCTACATATGTTGTTACTTGTTTTCATAAAATTTGTTACCAAACGTCTACATATCGTGTTGTCACACCCCCAAACCAGAAACGGCGGAAATGTCTGGGGGTGGATGACTTTCATGTACAGTATCATAACAAATGAATAGTAGTGATCAAAGCATTACAACCATCATATTGAATATTTAATAAGTTTACATCGTACTCAAAACATTGTTTGATTGATATCAATACGTATAGCAAAAATAAATAACGTGACGCGGTGACGCCCCATCCTCCAAAACCTCTTTGATTACCTGTTTACTGATTTCCTGAGAATACAAGTGATTTTGAGAAGTGTCAACAATTGAGTTGGTGAGTTCATAAGCGTTTTGTAACTTTTTCGTGTAAAAATAATAGTGTATACTTTCAGAAAATCCAATATTTTCCTTAAAAATGAGCTGCAAGTCTTAAATCCAAAGACTAAAAATGTAAGTAATGTTGTACTGGAGAATAGTGTTATGAAGTTTTATATTTATATAAAACTAATTGAATGTATGTTAACCCCGTAAACCAAATGTTTTGTTAATACCCCATGTGAGTTATCAAAACCATGCTAATGACTAGTTGGCCTGCTACAACGTTCTTCAGGCGTCGGAATGTTAGACATTTGTCAACCCAGACCTGTCGATCTACTGTAGCTAACAGTTTAGGTGCGGGGTTGTCAATCCCGTATAGATCTATACACAAGTGTCATGCTCTCCCTACAAGAGACTCTGGTTATAATTCCGGACTTAGTGTGTACTCTGGTAGGTACGGTGAATCCAAATGTCTCACAAAATTGTATCAACCGGTTTACGTGAACTGAAAACCCTTTTTTCTTGTAAATGAATGCATTACTCTTCTATAGTGGTTACATAGTATAAAAATAATTATACCTTTAAATATTTATATGTATCTTCCGAAATGATAATGTAGTGTTTGTGACTCCCAAACTATCCCAATGATAGTTTATTATGCTCGTTTGTTATAACTATTTATATAATCATTTATATAAATACATAGTAGTTATCTTGTCTAGTTTCAAATGGATGGTCAAAACATCATATTTTTGGGTTGTATCCCACACGATGGTGAAATAACTAGAAGGTAACCCTTTTTGTTTGAAAAACCATATTTTGGTAAAAAGCTTCAAAAACCTTGTAGTTTTGCAATCATAATTTTTCTTATGATTATATAACATAGTTTATGTTTTGTTTTTGTTAGTTTTGCATCTCAAAACTATTATATCACAAATAATTGTCCAAAAGCTAATGATAATCATATTTCATGCAAATAATGTTTTGTTTTTAGCATAAAGATGAAACATGTGAGTATTTGTGTGATAAACCAAACTTTACTTGTATTCCCCCCCCCCCCTAAAACATGAAAACTCGAAAATGTTGGGGTATGAACTCACCTTGAGTGTGGTTGTTGTTGGATAAAGAGATGATTGTGAAGATCTTCAAGCCTAAAACACTTGAATGTGGTTGATGAACTCTTTGAAGATGATATTATCCTAAGAGTTTTAACACATGATAATGTGTATAAATAATATGAAACTAACATGAAAGTGTATAAAAACACTAGATAATCAAGAACTACTTACCAAAATTTTAGAAATCAACTTGGAGGATTAACCCTTGGAAGTTTGGACTTGATTCTTGAGAGAAAAATGGAGTCAACAGAAAGGAATATGGAAATGGTGGTGGTGGGGGGGGGTGTTTGTGGGGTGTTCTCGGCCATAGTTAAAGAGGGAAAAGTGAGGTGACATTTGCATTGTTATTTGCTGGATAAATGCTTTGATACATTTTGGGTAAAACTTTGTGTTGGAAAGGATGAAACATCAAGTCACAAAGTCAACCCTTCCTTATCTTCTTTCCCACCGAAATCACAGTGATTTCGGCCTAGCACCAACCGAGATCACCTTGTGATTTCGGTCCATGTGCCAACCGAGATCACATGGTGATTTCGGCTTATGTGCCAACCGAAATCCCATGGTGATTTCGGTCCATGCACTAACCGAAATCCTAATTGTTATGAGTCCTAAGCCATTGACTTGTTGACTTTACTTGACTCTTGTTGGTTCGTTTGACTTCTGTTGGATCCAAAATTAGCAGTTGTCACACGTGTAAACCATGTATATATTTTATCTGCATTTCTTGTTTTTTCTGCAATAAAGAGAATGTTACATATATGTGTCCATTATGTAAACTATAAGGAGGTTTTCCTTGAGTCTCAGGTTAATCAAATTTGTCCATACTTTTTTATGTATTGTTACATGATTCTTGAGTTAGTAGTTCATAAATGTTAGCGATTGTGGTAAATATTTTTGTAGCTTAAGAAGCTGGTTTTGATGAAGTCTGAGTCTAGATAATAATTCTGGTAAGGGAAACATCTTTTGTAACACATATGCTCGTGTATAGTAGCCAATCGGCCACATATGCTCAATGTATTGTCGAGTTAGAGGTGGCAATCGTGTCGGTTTCGTGTTGTGTCGAAACACTAAACGGATTGAAAGTGTTTGACCCTAACCTGAATCGTTTAATTAATGTGTCGTGCCGTGTCAACCCATTTATTTTCGTGTCGAGTTCATGTCGAGTTTCGTGTTATGGGTATACCTTGAAATATATCGTGTCATATGAGGTTAAAATATTGAGCATGTTGAAATAGTAGGAGTTGGGTAGGCGAAAAGGAAAAACTAATAGTTTGGAGGCGGAATAGATGAAGTCATAGCAAGTTCAGATGACAAAATTGAAAAGAGTTGGGGAGGCGGAAGACGAGATCATAAGGATGAGAGAGTGGTCAAAGGGATTGTGTCGTTTGGGAGAGAACGGAAAACTGAAAATGAAGTCTTGATCTAGACGACTAACTCATTTCAACAATACAAAAAGACTCAATCCAAAGGTTTTTTACTTATTGTTTTGGTTTTGTATATTTCTAGTTTATTTAAAGAGTTCAAAAAACTTGCATATAAATAAACGGATCATTTTCGAGTTTCAACCCTAACCTTACCCGTTTAATTTCCGTGTCGTGTCGTGTCAACCCATTTATTTAAACGAGTTGAAATATCTTATCCAGACCTGTTTATCTCGTGTTGAGTTTGTGTCGGGTTTCGTGTCGAGTTTGTGTCGGGTTTCGTGTCGTGTCAATTTTTGTCACCTCTAATTGTCGTCAACTGTGACATTAACATATGAATATAAGAGAATGGAAAAATCAACTAAGTAGTCTTTAAGGGTGTTTGGGATTACTTTTTAACTTCAAAAGTCTTTTTGTAAAAGTTTTTTTTTACTTTAGCTTTTGAGGAGACAAAAACCAAAAGTTGTTTTTAAAAAATGTTTGTTTTATCATTTCTTGACTTTTGAGTGGTTAAAAGTCACAAAAGACATCATTTCTTGACTTTTGAAAAACCACCATTTTCTTCTTGGCAAAAAGTTAGTTTCAAAATGACTTTTCTAATTACAAAACATCTTTTTGAATTTTTTGATTTTTTGAAAAAGCCAAAGAAAAAATCGTTTGAAAAGCAATTCCAAACATCCTCTTTATTTTCCATTACACATCCTAAAAATTAATTACATTTTCCATTCTCTTACTTGTAAGAACAATGCAAACAAGGGGCGTCACATGTTCCATACAAAAGACATACAAACAAACCTCTATATTATCCATACAAAAAAGACATACTTATTAGAAGCAATAGAACAATACATAAACCCTTTCTTAAAAACATTGCATCCACCAAGAAGACAATCAAAACCAGAACTAGTAAACATCTAAAATTCACTAGTTTTATCTTTATTTGGTCAAACTCCAATTTCATAGGGTATTGATAAATAAACTCAGTGACGAGACATTTGGTCCAACTCCCTATAACTCCAATTTCATAGAGTATTGATAAATAAACTCAGTGACGAGACATTTGGTCCAACTCCAATTTCATAGGGTATTGATAAATAAACTCAATGATGGGACATTTATGTGAGGGTCACATCATTGAGGGTTCAAATAAGATCCCTCATTTTCTAGTGTCTAATTTTTTAAATATAATTACATTTTCATCATAAATGTTATGTTATAAACATCGTCTGTAATTTTTTTTATAGTTAGTCTAGTCCGAACCTTACAAAAAACCATAAAACATAGTCACGTTTTAAAGCATAAATACTCTATCCATATTAAACTTCCAAATACAATGGTTTGCTGCCAATTTTTTTAAAATGCAGATGATCATATGGCAATAAATTTATACATATATGTATATTTTGTCAATAGTTTAAGAATGGTTCTCTCTACTTTAAAATGTCTATGCTTTCTTGTCCCAAAAGGTCCATGTATACATTCCCCCCTCCTCCCCCCCCCCCCCCCCCCACCCCCCCTCCCCCCCGGTTTTACAAAACACTTTTTTGGCAATTCCCTGTTCCATCCTGTCCTATAAAATCCCTATGTACTTCCTCTCAGAGTTTCCTCCATATCGCCTTCAAGTTCTTTATGAAAGCATATGCATTCTAACGCACCATAAATTCATTAATAACTCGTTCAACAATTTTTTTTAACTATTTGGTCCGCAATCTATAGGTTCACTTCCATTACGCGCATGTGATCCATTTACACTGTATGTCACACATTGTTTTTAAAAGACTACAAACCAAACTATAATGAAGTAACAAATAATATACAAATTCTTCAAAAAAAATCATATAATACGAAACAAAAGTTTGCACAACTTATAAAAAAGCTATCACATTTTCTAACAATTGGGTAAACATATAAGATATAACAATAGTTTCATTACTACAAAAAGATATACAAAAATATTTTCCAAGTGTACTACAAATTTGAACTTTTCCCTTTCCCTTTCCCTTGTGACTAGGCCAGTAGGAAGAAAATGCTTTCATTCTAGCAAGTATAGGCATATGCAACTCACACCAAAACTTACACCTTTTAATATACACTTCGTTTTTAAAATTCACACGGGCGTGAGTCCATTTGCACTGTTCCCGCTTCCTTAATACCTAACACACATTAAATCAGGATTCAGGTGATAAAGAATGATACAGTTTATGAGATCAACTGATTTAAGATATCAAGATAGCAAACTTCACCTGTGTTAAAAAAAAAGGCTAATCACTTAAATGAGGGAGAATGTTCACAGCATCAGCTAGTTCATCCATAATGTCACCATTTGTTCCAAGTGGGATGAAAACATTAGCCAGATAGTTAGGTCGACCACGGGTCCACTCCGGTTCACACCATTTCAATGCATCCCACCATTCATTCTCTCCTTTAATTTCCTTGATATCATTATCAAATGCTTTCATGTAGGATAGTTTCTCAAGTTTTGGGCAATCATAAACGACAAGACTTACCAATCGTGGGGCAATACTTATACCACGAGAGATGCTAACCAATTCAGGGAGGTGTAGAAGTGATATCTTTTTCAAGCTTGGAAGATAACGAGTTGATGTGGAGTTGTAGGACCCCAAACTAACAAGGCTATTGATCATACTACAGTCTTCAACGATAAGACACTCTAAGCAAGTGAGACTTTCAAGCAACCCCTGTGTAAAAATGGTCCTAAGCTCAGGGCATGAATGCATCGCCAAGGTTTTTAGATTGGACAGACACCGACTATGAATTGGACCATTCCAGATGCAAATGAGACTCTTCATGTAATGAATTGAGAGATGTTGTAATGATCCAAGAACTGATCTTACAAAAAAATCTTCTAAATGGCGTCCATTGACAATCTGCAGCATCTCATTGCATTCCGACAACAGGCAGAATTTCAGCTTCTCCATCTCCACCAGTCCTAAGGCAGACAAGGACTGGAGAGTCCAGTGGCGGTCCAAGAAAAGAGCAGCAACATCTGTAAGCGCCATGGAAATAGCTTCTAGGTCCTCCTCGCCATTTGTATATGTGAAGCACTTGGGCCGTTTTACAAAGGTCCTATGAAGGTCAAGTGGGACACGGGATATCATACGTTGTTGAATGTGACCAACAATGAAACCAAAATTCGACAAATGTTGGTAAATTGGGACCTTTCGCCAGCTCTTTGTCTCCATAAATATGCCCAGAAGTTCTGTGGTTGGGAAATACAATGTCAGAGATTTCAATTTCCGAAATTTAGGCAAAATGTTGATGATAAGTTTGACCTCATCTTCCCACCATTCACCATACAAATCCACACAAATGCTTAGTTCCTTTAGCCGTAGGAGCTTTGATAAAACTGCTGCAAGAATTATTTGCATACTTTGGTTGCTTTGTTTGTACAAAGAAAACTTCAAGCATTCCAACTTGGTTAGCGACCCAAATTGCTCTGGTAAGCATACAAGTTGTGTTCCTTCTGAGTCAAAGACCTTGAGATTCTTAAGGGCTCCAATTTCAGGTGGTAGTTCCATCAAAAGGTCACAGTCTCTTATGAATAATTTTCCAAGAGCTGTCAACTTAGAAATGGAAGATGGCAAACAGTTTATGCTCGTGCTGGACAAATCTAGAACTTGGAGGCTCGGCATGTTATCGAAGAATGTGACAGGAATATCAGTCAGATCTTGATTGAAGTGCAAGAACAAATTCACAAGAAGGGGGCAGTTGGGGTTATTTGGAAGCTCGGATATTATGTTATTACTTAAATGGATTTCCCAGGCATCCGACTCTTCAATGTTTGGCATTTTGTTTGGTTCTGAACCATCTTGTTTAGGATAATGTCCATATCCACGAGGTAGAGACTCTACAAAGTAAGTAACTAAAATAACTCGAATCTCATTTCTCATTCTAACACAATTTCCCCCGACTTGCTCTATAAGGAAAGACCGTATAATATCTTCAAAGACAGATTCTGCTTCTTGTTCACCTTTCACCAGGCCATCTTTAGTCCAACTGTTTATCAAAGAAAACTTTTTTATTTTGGATCCTATGTAGTGTGATGCGAATTGTACGATGCACCTCTGAGACAAGGATTCCATGCGAGACCAAATGAATCTCAATACCCTCACCATGACATCATTTGTGACACCCATCTGTGATGATGAATATGAAGAAGGCTTCTCTAGTGAGGATGATGATGAAGAAGGGTTCTCTAGTGAGGATAATTCGTGTAATGCAAGTACCCATACACCAACATCAACCACGCCTCTCAAAGCCCTTGCAAGTAAAATGATGGCAAGTAAATGGCCATTGCACTTTTCGATTAATTGTGCTGCCATTTGTTGAATTTCAGAGTACTTGCCCACTGTTTCTAGGTCAACATTTGTAGAGAATAATATCCAGGGTAGAAGATGATCCTCAACTCTGATCTCTATATCCACCGGGCAATAAGCATTTTCTGATCCACTTGTAATCACTATCTGCACTGTTCCAAACCATTTGGACAGATTGAACTCAGGGTCATGCAAATCGATATAAGTGTCACTGCAATCTACGAATAACAAGCAGTTTGGGAACTTATTGAGAACGTTTATTTTACTACCAGTTTCCAAACTTCTTTTCCTCCACAGATGTATCTCTTCTTCTATGTCATTCATAAGCTCTTCGATGCTATCATGTTTTACATGTACATACAACACCATATCAAAGGCTCTTCTTAACTCTGGCAAATCCTTTAATATTTCAGCTATTTCAAGAGCACCACTTCCTGCAGTTCCAAGCTTCTTGACTTTCAAATCTTTTATACAACTTATAGCTCGTTGAGTGGCTGAAGCAATTGCACTTGCATGGACTTCTGGTATACCTGACCAAAAACTTGCTAAAGGAACTTGCAAGCCTTCTGGTAAATAGGCCACCATATCAAAAGCAGCATCATCTAAATCTTCTTCGATGTCTTGAAGAAGTTTTTGAATCTCCATCAGGTAGCCTTCATCCCTTGAAGAGTCTTGTAACTTTCTAATGTACTCATTAAATGAGGAAAATTTGTCTAAAAGAGACCCAAAGTTGACCTCCGCTTCTTTTTTCATAGGGTAAAACCAGATGAGGTGTAAAAAGTCAACCATCCTCATCAATCCACCAGCTCGTTGTATATACTCCAACTGCATCAATTCATACAAGGACTTCATGGTTTCTTCTCCAGATGACAACTCTTGAACAATGACTTCATCGTCTGGCTCACTAGCTTGATCAGAATCCTCACCAGAGAATCGGATACTTCTCACTGGAGTCATTTCATATGGTTTCCATATAACATTAAAATCCTTTTCCGGCTCTCTGCCCTCTCTAAAGTAGCTTCCCCCTGAAAAGCAAAATTAGCGTCTTTTAACAAAGGAAGGTGTAAGTCAGTGTCTTATGAAAAAACTTTTATTAATGTGTTCTTCATATTCTGTGAATTTCATAGTAACAAACTAAATTTACCAAGAAATGCATGTATACACACAAATTGATGCACCAACAGTAAATTATAAATTCAAAAACAAGCAGAAAATACAGAAGAAGTATGGCTTTACCAGAGTTCTCTCCGGATGAAAAAAAATACTTCTGCAACCTCCAGTCAGATGTAGTTATACCCATTTGGGGAATTGAATTATCAGTTCTCTCATGTAATGCCAATATAGACTCAAGACCAAAAAGAACCTCAGCCATTGTAATACGTGGCTCTTGACGATGACGCAAACAGCATTCCACTATTCTTACATAATCATTTAAGCATTTAAGTGAAATCTGCCCCTTCAAATCTGGATCAATGATCTGCTCTAGTTTCCCTAGTCTCAAACAGTCTTTAGCCCATCTCACCAATCCTACTTGTTCCTCATCAAGATTCCAATCAATTGCACGCCTCCTGCATAGCACTTCCAATAGAACCACTCCAAAGGAATACACATCAGTCTTCTTACTTAGTCTGCCAGTTGCCACATATTCTGGATCTAAATACCCAACTGTGCCTACAACGGCAGTACTAACATCGGTAGGGTAGTCATCGAAAGGGATTGTTTTAGAAAATCCAAAGTCTGCGATTTTTGCTACCCACTGGTTATCTAACAAAATATCTGAGCTCTTCACATTGTTGTATATGACCTCTCGCCCACTAGTACCATTGTGGAGGTATACTAATGCATGTGCAACATCAAGACATATTTTGAGCCTTTGCGACCAAGATAAAGGAGTGCTCCACTTGTTTAGATGGTCTCCAAGGCTTCCATTGGACATATATTCGTAAACAAGGATCATCTCTTTGGCATCAGTACAATATCCAATCAAACACACTATGTTAGGGTGTCGCAACAAAGGAAGTAAATAAACTTCAGTCTCAAACTCTTGGACACCTTGAGATGAAGCGGACTTCCGCCGTTTAACAGCCACAATAGTTGTTGTTGTTGTTCCATTCTTGATTGTGCCTTTGTACACACTGCCGAATCCACCTTTCCCTATTAGCAAGCTTTTGTTGAAGTCTTGGGTGGCGGATAGAATCTGAGCAATTGTAAATTTATGGCAAATTAGTTGTCCCTTTGGGGAGAATGATCCAGTCTCCTTACTAGATGCGGATAGAGGTGGCGGATTAGACAGTTTGGATGTGTGACCATGATCTCCCTTATGCAGGAGGGATTTAGCAGACAAAAGCCTTGTGACCTTGCTAAAGTAGCTTCCCCCTGAAAAAGCAATATCAGCATCTTTTTGCAAAGAAAAATATACTAAAGATCATACACAGATAAATACATACATACATATGTTTATATATACACACATAGAGGCACTAGTTAGTGAGGTAAGTTAGATGATATATACTGTGCTTAAACAATCCCCTAAAGTTCCCATGTTACTATGATTCTTTATTTTTCTTCTTTTTACGATAAAATGATCAAAATTTAATAGTCATCTCTTGGATGTATATTTAGTCTTCACACTTGTATAGGATTGATTACATTAGTTTAATCTCTATCTCTATATTATAGTTATCACTTTAGTTGTATAAATATATGTTTAGTCTTCATTTGTATTGGGAAACCTAAATTCAACCCTGTACCCTGTATAAAGTACATTTTCTCTCCTTTATAAGAGGGAAATAATTCTAAAACAAGTAGTTTATCTCTATCTCTTGTATTCATTTATCTCATAAGGTCAACTTCAAATTATGTATTTTAATTTCTGATAGAACAATGCAACAGTTTTTTATTATCTACACCTCCTTGACTCAATCAAAACAACCCTGCTCAATGAACAAAATCTCCAAAGAGGATTAAGCATATACAGTTCTGACAAAATCAAACCCTCTATGCATAATTCAACCAAAGCAGTGTTTCAGTCAAAGGACCAAGATGTAATTCAGAAGTAGGGTTATATAATAGACTAAATGCAGTAGCATATAGTGGTTTAAGGTTGGGAGAGAGAGTGCATACGAAGAGCTAAGCAGTGTGGCCACAATATCATGAAAGTCAGCTTCACTTGTTTTTTAGGCGAAGTATACATCACGTAACTAAATACTTATATTTTGACTTGTTTTTCATCTTCTGTGCATTTCAAAGTAACGTACTAGATTTACCAAAAAGATACATATATTTGCACAAATAGATGGTGGATTATAAATTTATTCACAAGCAGAAAAATATAATTGAGTTTTGGCTTTACCAGAGTTCCGTCCATAGGATAAGAATTGCTTATCCAACCTCCTACCAGATACATTTATACCCTTTTGGGGAATAGAATTATGATCAGTTCTCTCTTGTAATGCCAATATAGACTCAAGACCAGAAACAAGCTCATCCGTTGTAACACGTTGCTCTTGACTTTTACGCAAACACTCTTCCACTATTTTCACATAATCATTCAAGCATGTACTTGAAATCTGCCCCTTCAGCTCTGGATCAATGATCTGCTTTAGTTTCCCTCTTCTCACACAGTCTTGAGCCCATCTCACCAGTCCTTGCTGTTCCTTTTTAAGACTTGTATCAACTACACGCCTCCTGCATAACACTTCCAATAAAACCACTCCAAAGGAATACACATCAGACTTCTTGCTTAGTCTGCCTGTTGCCATATATTCGGGATCAATATCCCCAAGTGTGCCTGAAAAGGCAGAAACAGCAGTACTAACATGGGTAGAGCAGTCATCGAAAGAGATTATTTTAGACAATCCAAAGTCTGTGATTTTGGCTCCCCACTGGCTATCTAACAAAATATCTGAGCTTGTCAGATTGCCGTGTATGACCTCTTGCCCACTACCATTGTGGAGGTAGTGTAATGCACGTGCAACATCAATACATATCTGAAGCCTTTGCGACCAAGATAATTGAGTATTGTGCTTGTGTAGGTGCTCTTCAAGGCTTCCATTGGACATATACTCATAAACAAGAATCCTCTCATCAGTACAATATCCAATCAAACACACTATGTTAGGGTGATGCAACATAGAAACTAATTGAACTTCAGCCTGAAACTCTTGGGAGCCTTGATTAAAAGCGTAGTTCCACTGCTTAATAGCCACAATACCGGTTGTTGTTCCATTCTTGATTGTGCCTTTGTACAAGTTCCCGAATCCACCTGTCCCTATGAGCAAGCTTTCGTTGAAATTTTGGGTGGCGGATCGAATCTCATCAATTGTAAATTGACGGCAAAGTTGTCCCTTTGGGGACGATGATCCGGTCTCCTTACTCGATGCAGGTGGAGGTGGAAAATTAGACGGTTTGGATGACCATTCGGAACTGTAAAGGGAATCATCGCCTCTCCACATTTGTGTTCTTCGCTCTTAGCAATTAAGGCGCACCAATGACTTCAAAAAGTATTCTAGATCAGAAAACCCACCTGCTCAAGCAAAACTCCCTGTATCAAATCTTGTTGCAGTTTCAATAGCCGGAGCTGCTGAACTGCCTCCGGAATTCCCTTGGCCCAACGGAGTCGGTGTGCTTGTATCAACCGTATTATACTTCTGTCCCTACCATCATTTTTCTGCAAAATTCTTCCTCCTTCAATTACTCTGTGTTTCTTGAGGACAAAAGCTTTGTGACTTATCTTCAGGGCGAGAGTGGCGTTGACCAACGGCGCACAAATACTCCACCTACTTGTACCGTCCACGAATGCAATATAGTTTTTAACCGTGCTAATTTATACCTTTTTATACCAATACGGATGGAATATCACGAACTAATTAAATTCGGGAAAATGATTGTATAATGTAGTAAACTATTATTGTTATATATAATTTGGTTACTTTTTTTATTTTTTTTATTATGGTTTATCAATAAATTTATATCTGTTGTTTAATAAATACTATTTTCATCACCTAATCATCAGTGGTTATGTATTCAAAAAAATATCATTAAATTCATATTTGTTGTTAAATAAACACGGTTTATCATAAAACCAACTTTTGTATATATTTAGTCACTTCATCTTTTTGGTGATCATCAATTTTCTGGTCCTTTTCTTGAGACTTTCACCAACATAATTCGAAGAATAAGGAAAATACAAATTTACATTTAGCCACTTCATCTTTTCTGGTCATTATCAATTTTTTAAAGTGTCCAAAATATATTGTTGTTACCGGTTATTGTAGGTTTAACTGATCAAGATGAATTTGTCGGCTAAACATAATTTTTCTAGTGAATATTATGAATTTTCCAGTCAAGATTTGTGTGTGTGTTTTGAAAACCATTTCACTTTCTAAATCTAACACATCAAAACCCATTAAATTTATAAAAATCTACAAAGAATCTGTACAACTTAGAAAATTGTGTAAATTTCATAACATGCAAAAAGATTCTCAGACATTTGTTCGATTTTGAAAAATCTCAACAACTCAAAAAACCGGGAAAATGTGTTTGTGTTCGTGGGCTAAAGAACTCAAAAACTGAACAACTCGGAATGTGCTCATGTTCAAAAAAAAAAGTATGACGACTCAAAAAAAAAGTTAAAAATTTGAACACAATGGATTTTCAGATATGTGTACATGTTCTTAGTGTAACACTCCAAAATTCAAAGAAATTTAAAATTTTCAAAATCAATCATTAATCAATATTGTTTACAAAAAGAGTTATTGTTTCAAAATCATTATTTCAAATCAGAGTTTTTCTAAGACCCAGTGACATAAATCAGGAAACTGTGTACGATCACGCCTTTGCTTTCCCACGATCCTCAGAAGTACCAGAAACAATAAACCAAAAATTATAAGACAAAGCTTAGTGAGTTCCCCCAAAGTACCAATACACATATACAAATAACAACATACACAACTAAAAGATTGGATTACCCTTGAGCCCACAGTATGAGTCTGGCTTGCCCTTCAGGCTCATAGCTCATATATGGCTTGCTCCCGAGCCCACAGCATAAGTCTGGCTTTCCCTTCAGGCACACAGCTTTTGTCTGGCTTGCTACCGGGTTTATTGGCTACCGCACAAAGCAATACTACCTCAACCCAACCATACTATGCCGATATATTTGTAACATATAAACATATAACAGCAAACAAATAAACAAGCAGATCTTAACATATCACTACTGTAACATCCCAAAAACCATAAGTAAAAAATGTCATTTTTAATTCAACCATGAAAACCATTTAATAATTCAAAAGTACATCAGGGTAAAAATAGTTATCAGAGTATGATCACAAAATCATAAAGTGCGGAAACATAAGTGGATGCAGTGTAGACACAACGGGCCCTTCCCTTTTGTACCGGAAGTACTTGAAACCATGAACATAAACCGTAAGCACAAAGCTTAATGAGTTCCCCAAAATACCACATACCATACATACAATAGAGATTGTTATGTGTCGACCATAGTCTTGCCAATAGAGTTGCGGAAATGTCTTATGGATGATTATGTGGTGGTTCCATTGGAGGATATTCAGGTGGATGATCACTGAATTATATCGAGAGACCGATGACGATTCTTGATCGAAAGACGAAAACCTTGAGGAACAAGGTTGTTGAGTTAGTGAAAGTTCAATGGCAGAATCACAAAGGTTCATAATAGACGTGGGAGCCAGAGGATGAGATGAGGGAGCACTACCCGGAGTTATTTGGGGCAGCGGACTTCGAGGACGAAGTCTGATTCAAGTGGGGGAGAATTGTAACGTTCGTAATTTGGTATGTGTCATTTTATCCCCCCCCCCAATGCTTAATTTATTTCATGTTGGTCCCTAGCTAGTACACATGGCGTACTCTATAAGTATGCTTAGCATACTAGCTCTCCGAATGACCGCGGGTTCACCCATGTACACTGGGCGTACGTGGGAGTACGTTGGGCGTACGAAAGGATTGAGCAAACCCTAATTTTTAGGGTTTGCACCCTATTTAAACAACTTAAACCACCTTTGTACATTTTATTGATCAGCCTCCATCACCCTGTATCCTAAAAACGAAACCCTAAGTGCCTCTTGTGAGTTTTGAGCTTGAAACTGAGATTTGGTGGTGTTTTAGTGAAAGAATAAGAAGAAGAACTCTTGTTGGTTGCTTGGAAGTAGCTTGGGCTTGTAGATCCAAGTTCATCATCATCTTTGCAAGCCATTTGAGGTATAAAATTCTCTACTTGATGGTTCATTATACTAGATCTAGTTTTGGGACATTTTTTATGCATTTTTGGGTCTTTTGAGCTAGAGTTGAGCTTTTGATCTACTCCAGAAGCCATGAATGTTAGATCTTAGCTCCATGGAGGTCCCTTGTTCAGAAAAATGAAAACATTATGAAAGATATTGGTCCATGCAAGTGTTAAGAGCCTTATTAAGCTTCTTTTTGAGTGTTGGGTCCCATTAAGTCATGCATGGGTGTAAAGTTGCCAAATTTACGTATTAAGTCACCCTTTAGGATCAAATTTGAGAGTTTGGCTAGAGGTCTCAACTGATTAAGTGCTTAATGGAGTGGATTGGTGATCTGGGGAGTACGTTGGGCGTACCCACCTGGTACGTTGCGCGTATTGGCCCTGGAAGGAGTACGCTAAGCGTACGAGCTGAGTAAGTCCCGCGTACTCAGCAGATTGACTTTCAGTTTGACTTCCTCGGGTTCGGGCTTTTAGGTTTTGGGCCTTGTTGGGCCATTGGACTTCTAACTTTGGGCCATGGATAGACTATGTACTTTCTCGAGATTAGGTCCATAATGATTTTTGGGCCTAATTTGGAAGTTGGGCCTTGTGATGCCATTTAAGGAATTTGGGCCTTTTGATTAGTTGGGTTAGGCCTTGGTTTTGGGCCAAGTAAGGAAAAGAGTAAAATGGTCTTTTTACCCTAGAAATTGGTCAAGTAGCTTAGATTTAGTAGCTAGAGGTGAGTTTCCTCACTGTGTTTAGCTGGTCGAAGGCACCAATGTTGGCCCATGGTTTGTTATGTTTAGGATGCTAGTTGTTTGCGTGAATCTTGCATGTGATATGTGTTATATGTTTACCGGGTGAGGCTCGATAACTATCATGTATGCTATTTATCTTTGTGATTATTGAATGTGTTGTATGATTATATGTTTATATGTTTATATGTATACCGAGCGGGGCCTGGTGACTGACAGATCTGTTTACTGAGCGGGGCTCGATGCTGGGTTGAGCCTATTATATGTTTGATATGTATGGTATGTGGTATTTTGGGGAACTCACTAAGCTTTGTGCTTACGATTTTCAGTTTATGTTTCAGGTACTTCTGGTTCGAAGGGCAAGAGCTCGGGATGATTGCAGTGCACACACCACATCGTTCCGCATTTTTATATTACTATGATGAACTTGGATGTTATCGATACACTTTGATTCGCCATGGTTTTTATGATGTTGTTTGGATAATGGTTTTAATTAATTTAAAAATTGAATTTTTTAGTCTTAATTTTTGAGACGTTACAAAAAACCGAGAATAAGATAAACCCGCAAATATTAAATCCTAATTCCACTTATACGGTTATACCATATATGTGATTTGAATCCGTGACCTCTCACAAATGAACCCCTGACTTCTCACAAATGAAAAGTTTAATCCAAAGACAAAATTGCAAAAATGGTCCCTGTGGTTGGCAAATTTATATGATTTTGGTCCAAAACGAAATGTTGGTGCACCACTGGTCCAAAATTGGATATTTTGTGTAGTTTTAGTCCTTATGGTTATCATTTTTTGTGGTTTTGGTCTATATCCTACCTAAAATGACGATTATGCCCTTAACTGATTGTTTTTTTAATTTTTTTAATTGAGTTCTTATTATTCTCTCTCTCTCTCTCTCTCCCTCTCCCTCTCCCTCTCTCTCTCTCTCTCTCTGAAAATACCCCATCTTCCTGTTTTTTTAAACATAAATTTTCTCCATTCCCCTTTCTCCTTTCAAAACTTGCAACATCGCCCTGACCTTTACCTCTAAATCCCTCCCGATTCCGACGATGACAACAACCAACACACTCCTAACTTCGGCAACGGTAGTGGGGATATAGTAGGTCGCCGACCATGGGGTCGCCCTCCTGGTTCAAAAAACAAGCCAAAAGCACTGGTGATCATCACTAGGGAGAGCACAAATACCCTCCCGAAACACATCCTTGAGATAAATTGCTTCCGATTCCGTTCATTATAATCCTTCTGATCTCTCATCGTGGCTTGAATCCATGATTTGTGAGCGTAATCCCACAACTGGACCACCTATGATTGGCGATTCGTTTATGAACACCAGCTCAGCTAGCGCTGATGCTGCTGCTCCCTCGCCGTGTGACAACCCGAAACTTTCCCATTTCCGTTTCGTGATTTCCGTTAATAAAATTTCGAATTCATTAACTTTTCCG